TACAATTTTATCGAATTTATTCTTAGTACACACGATTAAGCATTCAAGTTCAGTGCATTTCTTTTCTTTAAAATATTAGGAGTACCAAATCATCAATTATAATATTTATGTACTTTTTTTTAAATACATAATAATATAAATATTTTCTAAAGATCTTTAAAATCTTTAAAATATACGTAAGAATCATTTAATAATATAATTTTTGTAAAAGTGATGAAAATTATCCCAGGACACGAATAGCGACTCATCATGTATATATATTAAGGATTAAACAAACATTATTTTAAATTAAACAATAGCACTAATTGGAAAAGAACCTTACTTAAACATACTGTTAGATACTAACGCGATCTACGCAGGTATGATCAGAAACAAATGTGTAATCGGTTATTACGTGTATCAAACGCAAAGAGCAACGTTTCCCTTTACCTCTGAGAGCTACGAAAAGGACACTCGTTGAGAAGCGAGTAATGATAATTATAAAGCGACAATTTTAATGAGTCGACCCTTTGCTTAATTATATCTCGCATGATGAAAGCGAAACAGATATGATAGGTAGATAATGAGATCGCTGCGTTTGATATTTTCGGTGGTTCCGAGTCGTGTGGTTGTCGCACCAAAGTCGGTATCCTTCGCTTTAAAAAACCACTCATGTGTTGTCATCGAGCCAGCAGCTTGAGGCAGTTACAACATATCTGGCTGCTTAATATATGCATGCACTTTTCGAGATCCAATGGTAACTGTATCGGTCATATTTGTCGTGATAGTGACCACATTTATATGGCTTAAATCCTTAATCGGGTTTAATAACTGTAGTTATAAAACTGACCAATCCTCCTCTGAAGAATGAAATGGCTGTGATTGATTAGTTTCTAACTCGGATGTTATTAAATCCGATTAAGGGTGACTGTGTAAACGTAGTCAGTGGCTGTTGCGAGCTCGCATCGCCAGATTGCAAGCAACTTAATTAAGACTGGCGGAGCGTGTTTCAATTTGCACGTATGACGCTCGTTTCGCTACCATCGCGACGACGCCAAACGCAGTTGTGCGAAAGGAGTTTTGTGGTGATGACGAGTGCTGTCGCTTCACGGTTGTTGCCTGGATGCGAAAAATATTAAATTCCCGCGAGTATCTCATTTTGATCTTCGCATCCTTCTTAGCTGGAGCTGAAGACAGATTGCGAACGAAATGTATCTTTTCAGACACCGTGAATATGTGAAGAATGTCGTTACATCTTTAAAGCTTGTATTTACAATTATTAAGTAAATCTTACAAAAAGTGTAAAGATGAAATCACAATAAAAATTTATAGGCCGGAATTCATAGTCGATTCTTATATTTAAGATCAACTTAAGTATTTAAGATTTACAGTCTTATATATGATGGTATACATATATATATATATATATATAAATTACAAAACTGTATTAGCATTTTAAGATTGTTTAAAATGAGATAAGAATCTTGAAATAAGAATCAAAACAATGAATATCACAGATAATTCAACAGTCACATTTTGATTAGAAATCAATCGAATTATAATGCAGTTGATTATTAGGTGTACAACTTTGCTTCCGCCGTTTTTTTCCGAAATTTGAGGCTTTATTGTAAAAAACTGGTTATACATTTATGATTCAAAGTATTGTTCATCGCTGGCCACTACTTTCTCCCATCTTTCGGGTGGCGTACGAATCCCGCGTCGAAAAAACTGGTCATCTTTTGAGGCTATCCACGAATCGATCCAATTTTTTACTTCTTCATAAGACCGGAAGTGCTGGTCAGCCAGGCCGTGTGCCATTGATCGAAACAAGTGATAGTCAGAGGGAGCAACGTCTGAAGAATACGACGGGTGGGGTAGGACTTCCCATTTCAACATTTCCAAGTATGTCTTGACCACTTTCGCAACATGGAGTCGAGCATTGTCAGGCTGCAAAATCATTATCGTGTCTCGTTGTATTGCGGCCGTTTGTCTTTCAATGCTCGGCTCAAACGCATCAATTGCGTTCGATACCGATCGCCTGTGATTGTTTCAGTCGATTTTAACAGTTCATAATACACTACGTCGAGCTGGTCCCACCAAATACAGAGCATGACCTTGGACGTCAAAATCACCGTTCTTGAAGCGTTGAAACTCACGACACGTTCTTTCACTAATAGCGGCCTCACCATAAGTATTTGAGAGCATTCGATGAGCCTCAGCCGCAGATTTCTTCATATTGAAGCAAAAAATTAAAACTTCCCGCAAATGACGAGAATTTGGCACGTAAACTGACATTTTCAATCGAGAATAACTTTATGATGCAGACACAAATCGACTAATGTTTCTATGAGGTTATGTTGACAGATGCCCAAGTTTATTGTATGACGTCTATGATCTATTTATTTCGACCACCACTTACCGCTAAAGCCATTTATAGGAAAACGGCGGAAGCAAAGTTGTACACCTAATATAAAAAAAAGCAACAATTATTTCTTCACGTAAAAGTAAAATATTATGTAATTTTTATAATTAAAATATTCCGTAATATTACATAAGTGAAGAGATTATTATTGGACTGTTATGCAAATGAAATAAAAAATAATAATTTACTTCCACATACCACACGGTTGGCTCTGTCACCGCCTGATGCTTTTCAATCATTTCCTTCTCTCAAAAACGTTCATTACATTACACTCGTGTAATATAACACTCGCGAAAACACGGTTAATTCGCGTATTAATCACTAGAATAAGATAATTACAGGACATTTTGCATGTCATTTATAACGTCACATGTAACGCGCATTTTATTATTATACATTGTAACGGAATCCGATTTAAATAATCCACAAAAATAACGCAAAGAAAAAATACGAAGATTTCTATGATTTGCCGATGTCTGCGATTCTCATAAAATTGAACGAAATGTGGAACAGGGGGTTTTAATAAACCGTGCTGAATCAATATCATGCGGTTGAAAAATATTAAAATAAGGATCTAATTATGATCGTACATATTAATTAAATACCATTTCAATATCGTTAATACTGTGCGATATGGTATGATTATAAATAAAGTCGAAATATATTCAAACGTGCAAATTCAACGAGATATACGTATTATTAATTAACAGTCAATGTATCATTTTCTATTGTTTAAATCACTCGATTCGCAGCAAACTTCCTGTTTCAATATAAAAATTATAAGTAACGATTATAACAGAAAAATTTAATTGCAAGATAATCTAATCATTATAAAAATTATTGTCTGTATAAATATCGCGATAAAATAATAATTTATGATTCCCATCCGTTCGTTTCTGTAAAAGAAATTCAATTGATTCGATTCTGTAAAATAAATTGTGCAAACTATTTATTTCTTCAAATAATCAACGCATTTGTAATTATTAACCGTGGAAGGTAATTAATGCGGGCACACTAATAGTAATTAATTCTTAATAAATAATCGCGTTTGATATCTTCTATCTTGATAGGCATTTCTGAATAAGAGATATAGAATAGTATGCGTTAACTATCAACTCGAAATTCGTTGCGCGAATGAGAACGGGTTTTATAGTTTGGCATACCACAAATACTACAGCGTGTACAAGTCAGTATCATCGACATGAAATATTTTACAAATTATGAAATAAATTTGTTAAATATTCTTGTCTTTGTATTTTAAACCAGTTATTAATATACGATGTAATACCGTTTTTTCTTTTTATTCGTATATTTCACATTGTCAATTGTAAATTGTATTTAAATAAAAAATTCAAAGTTCAATGCAATGGATGTATTCAAATCAAAACATTGTTAAAAAAAATTATTTTATGAAAAAAAATGATTACTAAATATTATTAAAAACACATGATTGTTATTATCCATAAATATAGTAAAATAATTAATAATTTCTATTATCTGCCTTTCTAATTTCTACTAAATAAAATATCTGCTTTGCAATGAGCAATCGTCATCTTAATTATGGAACTTTAATTACGCGAGTTAGCAATCACTTACTCTAATAAGCGTGAAGTATTACGATGTATATCTTCTAGCATTTGTCGCGACCACAAGAGGTAATGCACAACGATACACAGAACAGTTTGCGCCACGCCTGTCAACTCAAGTTTCATTGAACGAATGGAAATAGTAATAGCACGACCTTGCTTATGCGCAGCGCTAAGCACAACGGAGACATCGTAATAATAAACACTAAAGGGTCTGTAAAATCGATAAATTATCATCTCAAAATAAGTATTCAATATTTTATAAAATGAAATCGTGTTAAATATACTCTTTAATTTTTTGGAGTAAAATTTCACTTAAAAAGATCAAAAATTGAACCAGTCTTGAAAAAAAATGAGAACATTTTCAATCTTTAAAAGGAGTGAGATTTCATTCTTTTTAAATAAGATTTTACTCTTTTGGAGTGAAATGTGAGGAATACAGTCTCATTCCAAAAATAGAAGTAAGATTTTGTTCCTTTGGAATAAATCTCATTCCAAAAGAAATCTTACTCCAAAAGAGTGAAAATCTGCCACTTTTTATTTAATCAAGAATGAAAAGTATTAATTTATTTTTTTTCAAGATTGAATTTTCAAAAGATTTACAGAGTACATATTATGCTTTTTGCGCTTCGATAAATGAATTGTTATTTCATATTTTATATTGTTTTTTGTGGATTAATTAGCGTTGTCTAGACTAACGAAATACGAAAATTCGATTGAGAGAGAGTTTCGGAATGGAAATGGTATTACTTAATATAATATTTATAATGTAATATAAGGGCTAGATATTGTAATATAAGAGCTATATAAATAGATCTGTTAAATCTCGTTGAACAAACAGATTCAAAATTACAAACATTAATATTTATATGTATTAATATTTATATGATTCGAAGAATCATATGTACATATTTCTGTCTGTAAATATTTATTAACAGTTTTTGCGAACGATTCTTTACATCGTTTCAGTACCTTTTGTGATTAGTTACTAATATTCCTTATAAAACATTATAATGGCAGAACAAGAAGCAGAGAACATTATAATCCCAGTTCGTCGTTGGATACGTGGACATTATACAAAATTAACAAGTAGTAATGTAGCAAGATGTAATCATTGTAACGTAGAAATTTTCATAAATAAGAATAAATCCTTAGTTATTTTACATAAACACTTAGTGAGAAGACATTCAGACAAATTAAATGAAGAACAGAAGAAAGAAGACAAATTCCATTGGACTTGGGATTATTTTATAGCAGAAAGCGATATAGAGGCAACATGCACAGAATGTAACTTAACAATTAATTACCAATCAGTAACTTGTCTCAAAAGTCATTTAAAACGTATACACAAGTAGGTATACTCCAAATAAATTTAAAAATTAATTAACGTACTGAAGAATATAAAATTAATGTAAATAAAAGCAGTAAACTGATTAATGTCGATTAAAGAAAATGTAACGCAAACAAATATACTCAAATAAAACTAAAAAGATTTATTAAACTTAACTTCTTACGTAAATGTAGGATATTAGGTCCAAATTCAGATCATATAGACAACGAGAGGAATTCAGACAATGACTTGATTGCAAATGAGGATCTAACTCCAAAGACAGACAATATTATCCCAGTTCGTCTTTATATACGTAAACATTACACAAAATTAATAAGGAATAAGATGGCAAAATGCAACTATTGTAATGCAAAATTCACTATACGAAATAAATCTTCAGTTTATTTATATAAACACTTGGTGAAGGCACATCCAGACAAATTAAATGAAGAACAGAAGAAAGAAGACAAATTCGATTGGACTTGGGATTATTTTATCGCAGAAAGCGATATAGAGGCAACATGCAAAGAATGTAACTTAATAATTAAGTACCAATCAGTATCTTGTCTCAAAAAGCATTTAAAACGTAAGCACAAGTAGGTATACTCCAAGTAAATTTAAAAATTAATTAACGTACTAAAGAATATAAAATTAATAGCAGTAAACTGATTAATGTTGATTAAAGAAAATGTAACGCAAACAAATATATTCAAATAAAACTAAACAGATTTATTAAATAAACTAAAAAATTTATTAAACAGATTTTGGGTGCATGTCATCAAATATGATTTGCACTTCTAAGCATTATAAACGTACAATGAATAAAAATATTAAAAATTTATTGATATAATATACAAATTAGAAATTATAATCAAATATCTTATATATGTGTATTGATACTGCGCGCAATTATAAGAATAGGGAATGCAGAACAAGAATTTTTATCTGTGAGGAACTATGTATTCCACAACATATGATTTCTGAAAGATTGAAATTTCTATTTAATTTTTTTTTCCCAATCTTTGTTCTTTTGATTGCACAATTCCTTACGAAACTAAGTATTCAGTATTCATTTATGTTACACAGTCTCATTGAATACAAACAGAATGTTTCAAATTTATTATCACTATATTTAGTATAAAAAATTAGTAATATTGAAACATTCTGTTTTCACTCGATAATTATCAAATTTACAGAACATTATATCAATTTAAATCTGCTTGATCGCTACATTCTTGATCGCTACTCCTAAATGTTCAAATAATAGATTCTAAAAAAATTATAATTCAGTCCGTACAGCGGAATATGTACATAATTGAAATATCTATATATTATAATATATCTACTGTACTTTTTATTACTTTTCTAATAACTTCTTATGTGAATGTAGGATATTAGGTCCAAATTCAGATCGTGTAGATAACGAGAGCAATTCAGATAATGATACGAGTACAAATGAGGATATAACTCCAAAGACAGACAATTTTATCTCAGATCATCTTTGAATACGTAGACGTTACACAAAATTAACAAGTAGAAATGAGACAAGATGCAATTATTGCAATGCAAAATTCAATATACATAATAGATTGTTAGCTATTTTACATAAACACTTGGTGAAGGCACATCCAACATATTAAGTAGAAGAGAAGAAAGAAGATAAATTCCATTGAACTTGGGATTATTTTATCGCAGAAAGCGGTACAGAGGCAACATGTATACTCTGTAATGTAACAATTGGGTCCAAACTTACAAGTTTAACACTACACTTGAAACAATGTCTTATGTAAGTATATTCCAAGTAAATTAAAGACATTAATTAGACATTCTGCAAAAATGATAGTAATTAAATAATCAGTGTAATTAAATAATCAGATAAAAAATGTGTTACGCAAATAACCTTGGTATTTACTCAACAAAAAATTTGTTAAATAAATTTGTGATGCGAGTCGATAAATATGATTTATATATGCATCTATTCGTATTACATATACATATGTGTATACACATATTTATATGATATACAAGGTGTAATGGAACTAACGCTCACTAAGCGTACAGTACTATTTCTAATAAAAATGCTGAGTCAAAGAATCCTCTACTATTTTGCAATTTTCGCAATAGTTAACGAGATATTAATTTCTAAAGATTGCTAAAACGGATAAAATCGATGAATAAGACAATTTTAAGATATCCTTGTAGTATTCTTTGAAATATTATGAAGGTGTTTCTTGAAGAATTCTTTAAAAATATTTTAATAAAAGTTGTCTTGTATGTCAATTTTAGCACATTAGGTAATTAAAAAAATATTACAAAAATTGCAAAATGATACAAGCCTTTTCTTTTCAGTTTTTTATTAGTAATAATATAATTAATGGGCGCTTTTTCAAATTGAAAATTGTATATAGATACATTATTTATTAAGATTTTAGTTTTATTATATTATGCACACACACAAACACACACACACACACACACACACACACACACATTTGTGTCTTTTTGAATGAGTGTGTGTATGGGCGTACATATGTTGCGTGCGTACGTGAATGCGGGCGTGAGTGCGTGCGTGCGTGCGCGTGTACACATATATAATAGGCATAAATAAGCATAATTTATATAACATTTTCTATAAAAATCATTTTCATTTCAACGTTACAACATTTTTATAATATTCTTGAAATGTTTCAAAATTTCCTGCTGAGATTGTCTTTAGTACGTTTAGTACGTTCCACAGTAGGGGAAGCCTGGGCAGTGCAGACGTGTTAAGATTGAGATGAAAAAATTACACAATTAAAATTGAGATCAGAAATCATTTTTATTCTCATAAATCTCTTAAAGAACTAAACTTTGAAATAAAATTAAAACAAATTTAAAAACTTGGACAATAATATGTCGTTTTAGTTAAAACATTAAAATAGAGAGAAGCCATCCACTTTGCCCGACCCCACTCTGGCCAAAGCGGTTACTCAAGCAATGCAAATGGAATTAAAACAATTAAAATATGGCGATTGTTACAAAAATTATCAAACAACAAACTACTTTATATGTAGTGCAGCCTTCATGGGTCCATTTGATGCAATGACTGTACTAGATCAGTCACAAACAAATCATCACACTGCATTGTGGCAAATAATAAACAAAAATGATATGTAAACAAACACATGCCTTTCATACACTTGAAAGATCGTCTGTCCTTCCGTATTCCCAGTATTTTCTGTAACCAAGATAAAGGGAATGGATAATAGGCTATGTCCCCATTCGCTTGGCCCAAAGGACCTACCTGGCACGAATTTGGAAAAATTAGAAAAAGTTGAAGCACCAAGTGAAAAATTTTAACTTCGAATACAAGTTTAAACAGAGAATTCTAATAAAAAAATCATTCACACTGATTAAGAAACAATTACAGATAATAATTAAGCTACATATCTAAATAAAATCACAAGAAAACACTCAATTTTCTATATGTTTCTATTAAACATAAACGGAATGATATTTTTTGTTTTCTACGTTCATAGCGTCACTGCTCGATCATTCTTTTAACTGCTAGAGACTTATAGCACAATCTCAAATAGATAAGCAAAAATAAAAGGTATTCGCCATATCCAAAGCGTCCATTTTGCACGGGCTCCCTTATATGATTTTCTGTTAGTTTGAAATTTTAATTCTTTATTCCCCTTTCTTATTCCAATGATTTCAATTTTGCACAGTTTACAGTCCTTTACAAAAGTAATAAGTATTTGTACATATTGTATAGTTTCATTGAATACAAATTAATAGCGATTTTCATTGGCGGAGCTCGTGCGCACTCAGTGCACTTTAAGCCGTTGTACACAAATTGACGTAAATATGTATGTTTAATAAAAATATAAAAAGGAATTAAACTGCGAAATCCTCAATACATTTTATTGTGCTATTTGATAAAATATACATTGAGTATTATATTAAGATATAAGAAGAGATATCTCACTTTTACATTCAGATTAGATAAGTGTACAAAAAAAATTAGTAATATTCTTTCGCTTTAATGTGCGTATCAGTTCTGCTAGTGAAAAATGCTATAAATCACATGATTCAAATTTACTATCATGTTCAGTATACAAAAAAATTAGTAATATTCTTTCCCTCTCGAATGTTCTAATTCTCACCAACTAATTATCACAATTATAGAATATTTAAACTTACTTAATTACTACATCCTTGATTGCTCTGTTAAATGTTCAATCAGTAAGTTTTTAAAAATCGATAATTTTGTCCGCATAGTGGAAGAATGCATAATATTTTTACTGCATTTTTTTATCGAATCTACAATCACTTCCTATTTAAATATATGATATATATACGATCTCTGTTCAGATAGTGATATGGACTACCAGAACAATCCAAATCATTATGTAACCAGGAAAACGATTATAAAAAATGCAAAACATCAAGAAGATTTCATCTAAAGCTAATGTAACAATTTGTGCAAAAACACAAAAGGGACAGATGATTTTAATAAGTAATTATTTATTTTATGTTTATTATATAA